AACTTGTAGAATCGCCTTAATGCGGACTTGGCCTGTGAGAACACAACTTCCTTTCCAGTGCAGATCTCCTCAGAATTACCGAGATGCTTTCAGGATTACTGCAAAAAATACGTTGTTACTGGGACTGGTAGAGGTGAGGATATACTTTTTAAAGCTTGCCTGGAAATGCGCGCGTGCCTGCCGCCGTGTCAGTGCCGGTAATGATCGATTGAAGGTGCTGGCACGGCACTGGAACGGCAGTGGTGCAATCAGTTCTGGATGCGACCTTTCTGGGTACGACTTGTATGTCTTTTTTTAGAATCTGATGTTGTCGTTGTTGAGCGCTTGACGGCCGAGGAAGGAATTCCATCCAGCTGCATATTCATGAATTCTAAATACGAAAATAGCTGCAGAATGCCGAATGCCACGGAACTTATAACAAAAACCCTTTCTGGAGACAGCAGATCAGGTGTTAATTTCTAATAATTTTTAAGTTGATGAAAAAAATTCTTTCACTGTAGGACTGGCCAACATCCGACCTCTAATGATGTCTTGGAAAGAGGGATTTGTTTCGGGTATTCATGGTTTTTCCTAGAGGTGTCTCCTTAGATGATGATCTGTTGTAGAGATTCTGGAACCTCTAAATGAGTACACGCAGTTACTAGCTCAGAAGCTTGGCCAAATTGTGATCATCACTGGAACTGCATTCGATCAAGATTTTGATGGTATCGCTGACTCAGAAAAGAGGTAATATGATTGATGATTTCAACTTGCAAAGACCAATCATTTATCAATTTTTCTGCTGAATGTTCAGTCTGGCCTGGATAGAGTTGTGATTGAAAGTGTTAATTTTGTGGCAAATACTCCCGGGCTCCTTTTGTGAAACGTAGTTGGGATCCATCGGCTGCACTATGTGCCAAGTGGGAGCTAGTAAAAATTATTATTGGCCGAGAAATTCAACACTAAGCCTTTACCCCGACCGTACTCATTGTCGGTGCTAATAGGTCCCGCACAGATTGAGAAGTAATCGACTTACCGGAAGTACTTCAATGGCCGCGGCCGTTTGATATGAGATGCGT